TACAGGCTCAGCCTTCCACTAGCGTGGTTAAGACAAACTACAGTCGGCTGTGAAAGAGCTGTATGCTATAGAGGCCAGTGTTTGTTTTGCCCTTCTGGCACTACTTTAAGGGTAACCAGGGACCTTATGTACTAAAGACTTGCGTGGATTCCTACTAGAATGCGCCGTACACTGAACAGACGTGAATTCCGCTACGCACAGGAAATATATTCTGATGTATTAAAACGTGCGTACGCAGATCCCACGCACATTGTCTTTGTACATCGCAAGTCAACGTGAAATCTGAGCGCACATGCACAGAGGCACAACGCTCCACCCTGTCCCCTCCCTCAATTACACCGTAATAATTGAATATGTAATTAGTATACATAGGCGTAGATAGTGCGCTGTCTTTAGGAAAAATGGCAAAGCCAGGCAAAAAAACAATTTTACGGAGTGAATTGGAAGTGCTGCTGACGAGTACCAGAGCAAATTTTTTTTTATTTTAGTGTGCCACAGGACAGGTAAACTCGGTAAGGGTCGGAGAACCGCACCGCAGCGAGTTGAAAAAAGCAAAGTGGTTCAGATATCTGAAAGACATATCTCCCATCGCCAGAGCCTTCAGGCACAGTGATGGCGAGTCCCCTGTAATTAGGTAGACTGATATACTGTACTGCCGTGTATTGTGAAAAGGGTTACGGGTAGTACGTTACAAGACGTGACGTCGCCACGCTCCCATGTGTAGCGCTAGTCTGGTTGTTGTTGTGTGAGCCATGCTGATGAGACGCGGACATCGGTTTCGGCCGACATTTATTGCTTAACTGTTAATAAATATGCTAAGAGGCATAAAGATTAATGTCAAGTGTGTGTTTAGTACTATCCTCCACTAGCGCAGTAGAGGAGCTGCTGCGCTGCAGAAATAACCCCTCTTAAACCACAAATAATCTGCAAATGATTTAAAATTGTTTAATTAGCTTGATTGATTGTAAATTAATAAGGACTTTCGCACGAGTCTGCAACTGTCCCGAGAAGCAACTTGTTTTAAGTTTCGAGGCGAGTGCCAATTTCAATGCATCCTGGGCCTCGTTACATTCTCACGTTCATTTCACTTTTTGTACATCCGAACGTATTTATCTTTTAGCAGTTTGACAAACCGTCCAATTTACCTGGAACCCACTGTTCTTATTTAAACTCTTTGACAGGGACACATCCCTGTTCTGTTCCTTCCCTGTTGACAGTATTTTTTGAAGTGGCCTCTAGGTTTCCCCATGACATCCTGACCAACTCTAGAACTAATAAATCGGCCACCAGCAGGTTAAATCCTCATTTACAGAAGAATACAGTTATTCTATAACTCTGTAGGAGTATTGCAGTTTACTCATGTCAGTGCTGTATGCTCTTTGATTGGATACAAACACATGGACAAAGTGTCTACTTGTTCTTATTTCTGGTGTTCACCAACAATGCCTAAGTAGCCATAAAAAGTGCCAGAGTGTGGGGGATTTTCAGATTCAGGTTACTGATCAGTGAGACTGATGTCTCTAGAGCTCAGACTAAAATTTAACTTTAACAGAATGTTTCTGACTGCTTTTTTGTACTAACTGCCACTGCTTGCAGGCAGAGTTAAATGCCTATGACCACTAGTGTGTACTGAGGCAGCTTCACTGACTCTCATCCCGTCTCCTCTGTCATGTCTCGTCCCTGATTCACTGTGCAATGTTAACATACCACCTGCTGCTTCCCCTCCCGCTGCTACTTCTCCTCACAGATCTTTTTTTTTGGTAAATTGTATTTATGCAGATTTTTATACATACAGGCGCACATAGTACCTACAAACAAAAAGACAGTAAACCAGACAATTTAAAAAAAAAAAAAAAAAACACACAGCCAGCACTTTATATACATTATATAGAAAAGAAAATGTGTAATTATACATGTCGATTCACTGAACAGATGTCCCAGAAAGTCCACTCACACAGATTGGGTCAAGGAGGCCTGAGCCGGAGGGGAGTGGCAAAATCTCAGTATGGATAAGTAACACGAGTTAAAAAAAATATATATATAAATAAAAAAAAAAAGACAGTGCAGTGCATTTAGGTTTGTGGTCTATCCTTCCTGATGTATTCTATGAAAGCCCCAGATATTTTTAAACTTATCTTGGGAGTTAGACATAGAAAACCAAACCCCCTCTCTCTTTAATATGGAGAGAGGGGGTTGCCATAATGAAGAGGTTAACAAACCAAGATATCAAATGTTTGGAGGTGGGAGGTCTGGTCATAATATCATAAAAGTCATGTTGTATGGGGGTCACATCTAAGCAAGAAAAATATTGCTTGACAAAATTCCTAATTTGTATTGATGTAATTGATTAGTAGGGAGTTTGAACTTAGCCTGGAGCTGGGCAAAAGATGCAAAATTATTATGAATGTAAAGATCCCTGATAGTAGTTAAACCTTTATCTGACCAGTGCTTAATGACAGTATCCATCAAACCAGGCTTAAAACAGGGGTTCTGACATATGGGAACATGAATTGACATTTCTGGGAGGTTCAGCATTCGCTTGATTTTCTTTAAAATTTTAATCGAGTTGCAGAGAAAGAAGTAATTTTTTTAAATTATGATTTAATTTTAATATCAGGTTTTGAGAATAGAATGGCTGACAAGGAGGCACCAGTAAGTGATACAGCATTACTAAGCTCAATCTCAGGCCATCTAGGGCCGGGCCCGCCCTCCTCTGCACCCCCAGCCGTGGACTGATTCCAGAAAACCCATGCTCTGGTGTTACAGGCCCAGTACTAATGCCAAAAGACAGGCAGGCCTAAACCGCCCTCCTCAGTGGGCTTCTGTAAGTGGGCTTTTGAAATATGGAGGGGCTTGGAGGCCCAGACGAAGGGCATGATAATAGAGTCTAACGTCTTAAAAAAGGAAGAAGTGAGAAAGATGGGCACATTCTGAAATAGATAAGTAAATTTAGGGAGCATGACCATTTTAACAATGTTGACACGGCTTGAGCCTGTCAATCAGATCCATATAATTAAGTTTAAAGAGAAGTTTTGGATATCTGGGGATGTTAATCCCCAGGTAGGAAAAGTGATCATGGGTAACTCTGAAGGGCAAATTGAGAAGAAAACTAGAGTCAAGACCGTTAGACAGAGGCATAAAAACAGATTTCTCCCAGTTTATAGTAAACCCAGAGAATTGCCCTAAGCCATCTATCAGGTTAAGAAGGGGTGAAAGGGATGTTTTTACATCTGAAAGAGTCAGAATTACATCATCTGTGTACAGACCGATGGTACACTCGGATGAGGCGCACCTTATACCAGAG